CTTACAGAAGTAGCAGAAAGAGAAGGTATAAGGAATCCTAAAGGACCTGAAGCACATAGACAAGGAAGCTCTGTTTCTCTAGATCCTGAGAATTCATATTGAAAAACCCCAACCATCCTCCCCCACCTTTGCTGATCACAACTTTTCCAAAGGAAACAGTTGCAGTCCATTCTCTGTGATGTCTCTACTCCATCCTTGGGAAGGATAAAAAAAATGGGGAGGGGCCAGGCAGCTGTCATCAATACTCAAGAGTGGGTTTTATGCTGCAGAGGGGGAAGTCTCCCCTTATAAAAGTCTGTCAAATCTTGAAGGAAGTGTTCTGCATACCGGACTTCATTCTTTCCCAGCATCGACTTTCTGATCTATGAATGCCAATGATACAGAACGCCTAAAAGACTTTGAAAAACTCAGAGGAAGAAGGAAAAACCACTCTCCTTCTGAACAACGTAGAGATCCTACAGGGAGACCCAGACCCATCTTCATGAAATCCTACAGAAAAAGCATACATGAGACTGCCTAATTTAAATGTCACCAGCACACACACCCTTCTGCAAATTCCAGCACTGCTAACTTTTTATGGTGTCAACTTTTCAAATATAATAACACACCACCTTACTGATCATAATTGTTTGTATTTGTACTTATAGCTTATTCAGTATGCAAATCAAACAAGCTAACGTCATGTGCTGTGCTGCCCATGTAATCGTGTGGAATGATACGCTCCAGTAAGAAGCCCTGTGTGCTGTGCTGTCTACTGAACTCTTGGTTTTAATTAACAAATTTACCATAATAAATATAAAATGTATCCTTTTCTAAATATAAGCTTCCAGATACCTTCTGCAACAGAAGATTCCCAGAGTTTTTAAAGAGTAAACAGCCTCTCAGGAGAACAGCAGAATCAGGAAACAGTCCTTTTGATGCATAATCACACGAGCCAGTTTCTTTTGCTTGTTTGTTAATGATACAAAAGGCACTTTGCAAAAATAGTTTACTAAACTAGAAAGAAATATTGGCAAAATAACTAATTTCTACCCATCTTGCATTTTAGCAACTAGAAACAAGACATGACTAGCAGCATGTAACTGACCAATTCACCACAGATTACGAGCAAAACCTACGTGTTTTAAGAAATACTCTGATTTATGTAGCCTGTTCTTTAAAATTATTTCTGAACATAACAGACGTAAAAGAAAGAAGAAAAGATACAAAAAGCTGAACCATGGGATAATAAGCCTGTAATTAACTAGGCAACTTAAAAGTGAATCCATGGGAGGAGAGCATTATTATCATCCTAAATACACTGATCTAAATAGTCAATTCTTTTGAATATTAAGTACTCCATTTACACCACTTCACAGATATGGCTTATGGCATTTTATTCAGCTTTAGTGGCTCTCCATTTTGTGTTGAAATGAATGAAACATTTCAGAAACATTTATTTTGTAAGTATTTCTACAGGTAAGTGAAGCTACAGTTTTTATGCAGGATATTTTCTTACAACATGCCAGAGATGACCACCATACTGTATCAGCTGATACCAAAATAATAAGGTATCTTCCAGTTGCGAGGCTCAATGTCAAATACAATACAAATTCAAGAGACAAACTGTTCCCTAGGTAGTAAAAAGCTGTAGATAGCTTTAACAAGTGACTAATTCAAGCATCTATCCTTACTTTGGTGTGAAACTCGCCTCTGAAATCCAATCAACAGATTTTGCATTTACTGTAGTTGTGACAGAAGTCAATGGCCTTAAAATGTTTTCACCTCTCAGAAGTTGTTAAGGTTTAAGCAAAAATGTCTAAGGAAAATCTTTACATCATAATAACTAAGCCAAATCTGTTACTCTCTAAAACACACACACACACACACACAAGTCTTCAGTAATTTGAAGAGCTGCCTACCAGTGAGAAATTCACACCCTTGAGGCAGAAGCACCACATCAGACATAGTAGTTCTGAAGAACATTCAGACCTAGACATGCCCAAAACAAAAAACAAGACAACCCTGTCCTTCAACTGGGAAGACTCACAGTCCTGGATTTGGCCATGTGAGGTGTCAAAGGACTAACTTTATAGAAGGAGCTGAATTATGAACTTAAAGTGTAGGTGGAAAGGAAGGAAGATCAGACCCTTGACTACTCAGGATACATCATCACAGGTAAATCAAACACTGAACTCACATTCCTATTTTAGACATCCTTCTTTTTTTTTTAATATATTACACTTTCCTTGCAAATTTCGTAGTGATTCAAATGAAAATTCATGCTGGTTAGTATCTAAATATATGATACCCTGGGCTTAACAGCTAGTACTGTGATAAATAATTTTGTGGGTTTAGATTTTTCTTTTCTGTATTGTTGGACATTGTTTTACATTTCATACAGAACACTTAGATTGTCATTCTAGTTTTAGACTAACTACACCACTACTCCCAGCATAACATAGGCCACTTAAAAATATAAAACAAAGCTTCGCTGTAGTAACGCAACTGCCATCACTTGTTCAATTAACATAACAGGAACTGGAAAGAAACTACAAACTTAGAAACAGGTTTAGCAATATACTCCTGAGTTTTGTTTTATATCGACATATTGATGCTTGAACGATTAATGAGAAGTGGCATCCTGTTTCCATAGAGGATGCAACTTTAAACATCATCCAGTATAGAATTAGATCAACTTTAACTGCTTTTAAAAACTGCCCTCCATTTCTCAGACTTATGTACGCCACAAAAGGCTTATGTAACACACATACCAGTCATCTTAGCCAATGTTTTTCCCTTTTTATGTACCGTAAAAGACAACTGTTGTAATCTTCTATTCTGTCTCAAAAATAAATAAAAAAGATGGCAAAAAGCATTACACTCGATATATACCAAGTCATACAGTACCACAGAATGGCCTTTGTGAGATGAAAGGGTTAATCACTGCTTTTAATTACACCAAGTAACTTTAAGGGGAGTGAATACTGCGGCAACATCTGTAAACACAACGACCACATTAGCAGAACACCAATTACAAAATCCCTGCCAACACTGCTTGTACAGGGTTTTTTCTGTTTTGTTTTAATCAAGATATAAAAATCTTACCAAGTTCTGCTGTTTGGGGTATTTGCAGAGGCCTGCAAAAAATCTGTAAGACTAGGCAGCTTTAAAGAATGTAACATGCAGTAGTAACCATGACGATAAGAAAAATGCTTTTGCTAATCTTTTTCTTTCAGATGACAATACTTCCAAATACTGGTGTTTTTCCACTGTATTACAACTTTTGTTTGTCGCTCCCTATGAATCTAGGCCTCCATTCCTTGTAAACCTGAGACTTCTGACAAAGTGAACAGCAATTTGGGGTGCACTAGCAACACGGAATGAGTCCTAACCAGTCCACCAGCATCTTAAGTGACTGTGGTAGGATGGACGTCACTTGTTGGCAACTATGTCTTATTTCCTTGTTGCACAGAATAGGTAGAAAAAAAATATTACATTTTTAAGATAATTACTTTGCAAGTAAATGGGAAATCTAAAAAATAACAGCAAGGCAGAGTGTACCTAGGGTATCTCTGTGGAGATCATAAAACTGCTGAGATAAGTTAGAATTTGGCTCTCAGCAGGCTGACCATAAACTTTAAGAAAACAGCCTGGAACTCCTCTGCATTGATTTTGTCTTGGCTTTGTATTAAGTTGGGGTTTGTAAGCAATAAAAAATAAACTAAATAAAGATTCTTCAGAAATTAATCTCTGTTCTCTACTATTTCTCCAACAGACTTGCTCACCAAGCTAGGAAAATGCTTTCAAAAGATATATGTGATTTGGATCTGAAGTCACATTTTGAAAAGTGACTAAAGGGCTGATTTTCAAAGGTATTAAGATACCTAAAGATGCATTAAGCACTTAGAATTTTTAAAACTGCCTGGGCATCTAACACCTATTTAAATCACTTTGCCCATTGGGATTTTCAGAAAGGACTGTTATCTACATTTTATGTGTCCATATGCCTTTGAAAATCTGTACCATTAAATACTTAACAACCTAAGTCCCCCTGGCTTTTAATGAGACTTAGGGTCCTAAAAAGCGTAAGTACTTCTGAAAATTGGTCAAGCCACTCTCTCCGGTCTTTTCTTCTTTCTTTTAAAGAGCCACCTGCTAATGCTTATCCATAGCATGTCAGCTAACTACAGCTTCAACACTGTCAGACTTACACATTATACTGTGCACATTCAATGTTTTTATGTAACCAAACAAATAAAGGTCCTGAGTACAGACTGCATCCTTATAAGACTTTCTGAAACTCTGAAAGAGAAAACTCATTCCAACCTGTAACTGCTGTGAATGCCCAAAAATCATTGTTTCGATAAATATGATCCAAAATGGGTATAATCTAGGCTGATAAAAAACAAACAGCATCGTTTAATTACCAAGCAACATATTCAAATTACTACAAACAAGTTCTGAAAGACAGCCACACAGCGACAAAAAATGTTCAGAGAAAAACTAGAAAAAGAAGGAAGTTGTGAATAGGCTCTTTAAACAGGCAGCAGTTCCAGAAAAGATGACAAGCCTTAATTCTGAAATTTCTTTCTTAAACAAAAATGTATGAAACTATAAAGCATTCCCTTATGCAAACATTTGAAAGATTTATCTTCTGATCTTCTTTAATGTCAATGGGAGGTAACTTGCACTGACCACATTCCCAAAAAGGAACTGATTTGTAAATTAGGAACGCAGGGAATCAGATTGCCACCTACAGGAAAATTTAGCATTTATTGTCAAGAATGACTCAAAAAGAATACAAATTGCCATCCTGCCAAGCATCCTTTCAGTTTTAGTTATTATTTCAAAACCAATTAGTATTTTCTTTTGTGCAACTATATCATGAACTTCCCAAATCCAGAAAGCCGTTAACATTTCTTTTTATTTAAGAGAGTATTGCTTGAAAGTTCCATAATTCAACTACAAAGCAGCATAGTGTAATCATGTTTCAGTTAAAGAATTTTAAGTCTGCTTACCTGATACAATTGGTGCTAGTCTGAATATGTCTGATAGTCTGCTGTTAACTGGCTCATAAGGGGAATCTTCAAGCAAGTCATTTCCTAAAGACAAAAAATATTTGGATTTTTTTCTTATATGAGAATTCAGGATAAGATTTTGTTGTTTACTTTTACTCTGAAATGAAGTTATTCTGTAACAGCAAAAGGTACTCCCCTTTAATCTGTTCAGGTGGCTATTTCTCCTCAAAGCATTGTCTGTAAAAACACCTGAAAGCAGCTAGTTGTTTATCCCTGTCACTACTTCTTTTCTCTCCTTCCTCCATGGATAAGGTCATAATTTGCAAAGACAGCCTGTGACATCACAGGGACTGTCCCATCTCCTGCCAGCAGGAGAGAAGCTGTAGCAGGGATGTTCCTCTTCATTCACCCTAGCAGCAGAGCTCTTTTTTAGAGAAGCAGCCCAGGTAACAGCCAAAGACTAGCATCTTTGGAATAAAGCACTCCTAACAAGATGCTGTTGGAAGGGCAGCTTTTTATGATGCAGAAAATGTCCAAGAGTAGTGTAATTTATTACGAAAGTTAGAACAAAAATATCTATTGACCATTAAAACGTTCCAGTTGATGCCTGGATAAATGAACAGAAAGGGATGACTTCCCTTTTTGCAGAAGCAGCTACAGAAAAGAGTTAAATGGGAATCACACTGAAAAAAGATTGCATCTTCAACTCCAGGGCCAGAGCAAAATGGGGCTAAAAATTGTATCTCTCATATAAGGACCTGACTGTTCTCAGTAGGCTATGGGAAATTTGCCAGTGACATAAAGAACAGAAGTCCTGAGTCAAACACTACCCTATCCCTTCTAACTGGAACTTCTACATGCTTTAGGAAGCACAAACTACCTTTTTTTTTTTTTTTTTTTTTGCCTCAGCACGTCCAGGGAATATTGCTAGCAAATACAGGAAAGGAAAGAATAAACTTTTCCTCAAACAATGCTCCTCTTCATATTACATTTAACTTTCAGCAAAGAGCTAAGAAACTAGTTCCAGTATCCTGTGATCTTGTTAGGTGAGTCCTAATTAAGAAGTTTAAATATTATTAGGAAAATGTCTCCAAATGATTGTTTTTGTAGCTTTTGCACTTGCTAGTGCCCTTATCTTTTGACTCAGGTTTAGAAAGGTCAGCTGGGTCCCCTGGAGGAAACCCTCATTGTGGATTTCCCAACAACAGGAGACGGAGCAGCAGCTGTTCTTGAGTCGGATGAAAGGTCCTCAGTTTGCAGCTGAAGAGCACAACGTGAATTATGGGGTCAGACTCTTGGTTTAGCCTCAGTGGCGGTAGCTAGCTGCAGATGTGAGGGGCTGCAAAAATCACACACTGCATTAGGGGAGTGGAACGTTTCTTTGTTTCGCAACATACCCTGTAAGCTCTGGTACATGCTCCAGTAAATGCGCAGGCAGTTTTTCTCCTTCTTCATGCCCCTCTTACAGCGGCAGTTGTACAGAGATTTCTGCTTGAGAGCTTCCATGGCGCTTTTGCATTCGTCCTTTGCCTCCAGGCCTGTCGCCCGGCTGAAGTTGCTCTCTTTGCCGGCTACACACTGCCTCAGTGTCCTGTATTTAGTACTACAGCTCTGCTCCTTGAGACACTGATCGCTGGCTTTCACACAGTCAAGGCGGTCCCCTCCAGGCAGCCCGCTCACTTCTGCGGACAAAAGTACATCTAGAGAGAGGAGACACAAACCAACAAACTCTCGTTGAGGGACGATGCTGACCCAACCGGGGCTCCGAAGCAGGCATCTGGGAAGCACAAGGCACGCCTCACGCGGCACATGAGGCCAGCCCCACGGGCAGCACCTGGCAAACCTCAGGGCTTCATGCTACACCTTAGGAACAAGCACGCGGGGCTTTCATGGTCTTAGATCCACTTTTGTGGGCGTCCAGGGAAACAGTATGTTTTAACCCTGCTGGTTGATTTACGAGAAAACACAAAAAGGAAGGAAAACCCACCGGGGCTAATGACAAAACAAGCATTCATTACTCCTTAGATCTACTTTGGTGAAACAAATAACCTTTCCATTCGAGGGTTTAACTGAGGGGTTAAACATTCGGCCTCACTTTCCACAAGAGCTTTGCTGTAATTTCAATTACATCCACGAGCAACCCGCTCAGAGAGATAAGTATACTCACTGATTGATATTAGCCTCTTTTTGCGTCAGTCTCTTTCAAAGGCTGTACACATTTTTGCTTATTCTACATGTCTAAAGGTAGAATTTATGACTCCCCCCCTCCATTTCTCTCCACGTATGATGCTTTTGCAGGAGAACAAAGCAAATTATATTAACTCTCTCCTCTCCATCGTGCCCCCTGTCACGCTCCCTCAGACACACGCAGATAGAAACGCAAACATCTCCTGTGGAAAGGAAACCAGTTTGGGCTGCAAACCACTCGCAGTCCGGCAGGCTGCCAGGTTCAGGTGAAGATATAATCCTTCAGCTGGCTCTTGTCACCCCCCCACCCTCCCCAAGCAGCCTTATTTTATTAAAACGAAAAGTTTCCCCGTAACTTGCGAGAACCCAATTTCATAAGAGGCTACACAGGCAAGTACCCAAGTCTGTAATCTCCCACAGCTTTAAATGTAGACTGGGTTAACTGATGTGAGGCAGAGCCATAAAAACTACTGGAAACTTCACCGTTCTGCCTAAACAATAGACTGACAGCCATCAGGCATCCGATCCCACAAACCCTACGCTTTGCTTTACGAAGCGATGTACAGAGAGAAATCAGACGCCAGCAACTTACCCACTAAGGGCAAAGCGAAGTACAAGATAGCGAGAAACATCTTGCTGTCTTCGGATGGTTTCCCCAAACGAGCTGATGTGCCACAACAAAGAGGATCAGCATGTAGATATTCCAAAACCGCCGAGGTCCAAAGACTCCAAGTTCAGATCCATTGAATTCAAGGGGAAAAAAAAAAAAAAAACCCAAACGAAACAACCCTCTCTCCTCTTCACCGCTACCACCACCAGCAGCGGGAGCAGCGACGCAAACGCTGAGCTTTTTCCCTTGGATTTCAGGTCTGAGCAACCTGAAAACACAAGCACTGACTCGAGTCAGGGAGCGAGAGGCGCACGCGTGGGTATATGTGTGTGCGAGCGGGCA